AGTTATTGTTGGGATCCTATGCATGCACCAAAAGGGCCCAAGGAGAAAATCTTTTAAATTACTGGATCAAGATTTTTTGCAAAAATATTTTTGCTTGGTCGCTGGCCTGCAGAAGTGCCATGCAAAGTTTTGTAGGCATAGAGGTAAATCCCTGAATGAGCTAGAAATTTGTAAACGCTGCCAGAGGAAAGTGAACACGCTATAGTGTGCTCATTTCTTCAGAGTCATGACGTAACGTGAGCCCGTTGACATCCGGTAGGTCACTTGCGGACACCAGTGACATTATGAAGTAGCATCTCTGCTTTGTCTAAGCAAAATAGAGATATGATAATTAATGTTCTTTAGGTGTAGTGTATATTTTGTGCGTGTGTTTGTGTGTTTGTGTGTGTGTGAGTGTGTGTGTGTGTGTGTGCGTGCGCGCGTGTGTGTGTGTGTGTGTGTGTGAGTGTGTGTGTGTATCTTTGTGTGTCTGTGTGTATGTTTGTTTGTGTGTCTGTATCATATCATATCATATTATATCATATCATATCATCATATTACATCATAATTGTATAATATTTGCAGTAGGTACAAACGAATTTCTACGCATCTGTTGGTTCCTGTGTTCTTAGAAACGAGTCGTTTAGTGTGGGTCTATAATTGAAATTCCGACCTTAATAGATGGCTATGGTCACTAGCTTTTCCGCCTGATATAGAATGATTGTCGTGCACTTAAATTCAAAGCAACTTATATCTCTATCATAGTTCCAAACTTTCTGATCATTTTTATGGTGGGCTGTGTTCCCATACATCTATTGGAACAAGTTTATGCCAAATTTCTTAACCTTTCTATTGTAGAGGCATATTATATATTAGTATACTAAGGATGGATATATTCAGATTAAAGATCATCATACATTTTCTCAAATGGTACAACCTCTGATTTGATAACGCAATTTTGCCAGATAAATGTGTTGTTGATTTTGAGACTAAAATACGTGTACGAATCCGTGATCTCAACTGTTTTTTTAAATTCAATTACACAAGGGGAAACTGTTGGGTTTTCTCTTCTAAGATTTTGAAAAGGTTCCTTATGCTAGCCAGGTGTAATGCCAACGAAAGTTCAAAGTTAAGTTGTATTTCCTATACTATCAGCAATGGTGGTAAACTCGCTTTTTGGGTTGTTTTTTTTTTTGTTGTTTGTTATACTTGCATGTCTCTGGTCACCCCGTAACACTCCCAGTGCTGACGACAATCCCCTGACACCGGAACTGGGCCATGATTAAGCTCAAGAGTGGGGCTAAAATTATAAACACTTGATGTACGTTTGTGAGGCGGAGACTCCACACAGGAGCAGAGAGAGAGAGAGAGAGAGAGAGAGAGAGAGAGAGAGGGGACGACGACGACGACGACGACGACGACGACGACTGCATTCTTTAAAAAGTCAATCCAGCCAACTCTCAAGACGCTGTCCACGAACTGTCTGGCCTCTGTCTTCTGCGTGGACGCGTGATCGTGGAATGTCAAGGTTGGTTTGTGTCTTGGAGAATTCTGTCTTGTTAGGCGGGGATTAGGCTGCCGTCACGACGTGGGTGCTTGACGGGTGCTCTGGTGTGGTTGACGGGTGCTCTGGTGTGGTTTGCTTCTTCTTTCCTTCCTGTCAAACATCTATTGTCCTAATCTCCCCTTCTTCTTTTTTTTGTAACACCTATAATCTTCTGGCGCTCATATTATGACCGTATGCGGTTGCGAGCGCCGTAAAACCTTTACAAAAACAAAACTAAAAGTGGGTGGTTGGAGGGTGCCCCTAGTAGGTCCTACTTCTATACGTTCCCCCCGTCGTTTCTGTCTGTCTGTGTGGATGGTTGGAGGGCGGAACTGAGTGGTAGATCCTACTTCTTATTATCTTTCCTTCTGTTGTTTCTGTCTGTCTGTGTGGGTGGTTGGAGGGCGCAACTGGTGGGTCCTACTTCTTTACATTCCCTC